GATGCCCCCAGATGCGAGGAGCCCCCAACAGCGCAATATCGCCTACCCGGCTCTCTGCCAAAGGGGCTTAGTCTGAGTCCAAGCAAGCCTTTAAATCTTATTCCCATGGAAAAAAGAGAGAGGCCACGATAGAGCAGGGCAAAAATGGAGCAGAGAAAAAGCCACCACAAGGAAGCAGGGGCAAGAGGTCCAGGAAAGTGGCTTGGTTTCTTCAACAAGTCAACATCATGAAAACAAAAGGCAGATGGTCCTCGTTTAAAAACCATTTTTAAAACATTCTCATATACAAGAGACGTAATTAAGAGAGAGGAGTAAACAAGTTGACTCTTATGTGGATCTTGATTTACGCAAGCCAGCTAAGAAAACACACTTTGAGGACAAGTGGAGAAATTTGAGTATGAACTGTTTGTTCGGTAACACCACATGCTAATGTTAAAGACTTCCAAATAGTGTGTGTGTTTGTGTGTGTGTCTCCGTGAGTGTTGAACATGAGGACGTAAGATGAACAAAACATGACATGATGTGGGTGATTGTAGAAACTGAGTTGAGTACATGGATGTTCACTATTTGACTTTCGCTACATTTGTGTGTGGTTTTTTCTTAGTTAAAAAAACTTTTCTCTAAGGTTTGAGGGGCCAGCCCCAATCCCAACTAGGTGGACAGCCGCCCCTCCCCCCAGAAGAATTCACTTCAAAGGACAGCACTGAAGCTACAGCTCAGGGAGAGGGACACGTCTGATCAGAGCACACGGGAGCAAATGAAGGGGGAGGAAGAAAGAGTGGAGCACATTCTGGCCCACCAAGCCTTGATGACGATAGTCTTACTTCAAACAGTGGACAGAGTGGACCATATGGCCAGCCCCAATACGAGACACAACACCCCTCACTGACCCATAGCCCTACAGGAGACAACACTGGAGACAGTGTGGGAATTGCGCCCAATCTGACCCCACCACACCAAGGCAAAACACTAAGGGCATGCAATGGAACAGCAAGGGGAGCAGAGCGAGGAAGTCCCCAGGGATTACCAAAAACAGACTTTGGGGGCCAGGGCGTGGCACCCCATCAAACTCCACTGGAAACTACTCTAAGGGTCAACAGACCTTGAAATATTTACAGGCTTTTCTTTTTTTGGTCATTGGCTTTGTTGTTTTTTGTTGCTTTGTCTTGCCCTGTCTTGTTTTTTGTGCATATTATTATCTCTGCAGGTATGGGGGGAGGTCAGATGCGCAGGCATTCCTGCCCCCCCACCCCAGGGCAATCAATTGCCAGACTGCTGTCTCATTCCACCACAGGGATGGGCCTGCTCCCTGTCTCTGGGGACAATGGACAGGCTCCTGTAGGCGGAGTTTTCACCCTGATAATAGTTCCTATGGAGACCCAGAGACCACGCCCTAGACCACCCCCTCATTACTGTGTAACCTATAGTATAACCCTTTCCTGCAATGTATGTCTTTATCTGTAATTAATGGGCTGGCATGCCCCCAAAAGGGATATAGGCGTGGGTCAGCAATATAGATCTCTCTGACCTCTCTCCTCTCCAGTCCTCTCTCCCTTGTTCCCTTGCCCTCTTTCCCTTCCCCCTCTCTCCACGTGGACCACCAAGCTGGGCTGAGGTGAGCAATGTTACCATGTAATGTGTCTAACTGCATTATTATAATATCTCTCATGCTCTCGATGACTTTAATACTTATATATCTCAA